TTAGGAAGCAAGTCATGAGAACGTGCTTACTGAGGGGCACGCGTGTGCTCTGCTGCACCTGACTACTTCTCATCAAGCACTCACCCTCAGCCTTCCTGTTCACTTCTCATCGTTGATTGATTTCTTTCTGTTGAAGTTCTCTTGGTGAGGCAGGAATTATTGCTGCCAGCAGTTCTAAGTATATGCTTTCTGTCTACGAGCCTAGCAGAGAGAGCCCTTGATTAATTCACAGGAGGACCATGGCCTTTCTTGGGTGACATGTCCCCCTTTCACCTTGGATAGGTTGCCATGATTATTCACACCTGGATTATTTAGCCTATCCTTAGACGGAGTGGTAGAGCGGACTGCCATGATCAACAAGGGTTAATAATCTCTCCAGGATGAGATAAAACAGGGAGAGAGACTTGTCCTGGAGGCAGGATTTCTGGGCATGCATAAATGGCCCCATACACTTAGCAAGAGCTCTTGACTTTTGGGCAGATGGGTTACATGTTCAAATCGATGTTTTTAGGAGACTGAGATGGCAACGGTACATAAGTAGAGTGATCACATCATTTATCATTCAAACCAGAACACTTTTGAAAGTAAAAGAGGCTACGATTAATAATTAATGGAAGGCCTGTTTGCCACAGGAAAGCTGAGCAACCAAAAGCAAACAGCCTGACTATTTTAGAGTTGTTGCACTAACTTCTTTTCTGATGCAATACAGGTTTCACAGTAGTTATGACTATAAAACCGTACATGGTTTGACAGTCACCATCAACCACTTGCTGAGATGAAATAACTTTTTGGAGCCAGGGATAAGACTTACAAAAAGGTCAAGATTCACAGAAAGATTAAATATACACTGAAAGAAACGATCAGCTTCTCCATAGTTGCTTCTCAGGGGAATCGCCTAGGGGTGGCGAATCACCGATGTGACCTGTGGGATTTCACAGTAGAGTGGTTAACAGAAGGCCTCAGAGTCATGAGCCCAACTTAATTTAGTCTCAGCGTTGCCATTTGTCAGTTGTAAGCTTGAGGAAGTTACTTAACTTCTCTGAACCTCAGTGTCTTCATCTATAAAATGGAAACTGTAATACTTCATGTGATTGTGCCCAGAATGACGGTGTCTTACTGTATGCTATAGTAATAGCACATAATATAGATGTAATGCATACATTAATATATGTTTAGTGATACTGAAACGTAGCATTCATACTACCAAAAGGGTTAAATAAGATGCAGGAGAAAAGAGAAAGTTATTGATTCTATTTTAGCAGGTAAATCTCCTAGTAAACACTGTGCATTGATTCTTTCTTCCATCTTTTTTCACTTACAGGATCTGCTCCTCTGATATGACAGTACCTCCTACCAAACTTACCACACGTACGAAAGAGCACCCTATTTGTTGGCCAGGGAAGAGTGGCTGGACCACTCTCATTTGGTTTAAGAATGCCTTGGGCTGGTCAGTTGTGTCACTTGGGGCCTTTCAAAAATGATTTCAGGATTGATAAGAAAGAAAAATCTGGTTCAAAGGACTTTAAATTGTGAGCAGGGAGTGATGAGTGAGGGGCAACAGATGCGGCCCCAAATAAGACTCGGAAGGTAAAGGTAGATAGGAATTAGGATCATACCTAGAGGGAACAGCAGGGTCCAGGAATGTTACTCAGTGTGTGGGGGTAGGAGGAAAGAGCCCCTCGGTGAAGGGCCAGACAGATTAGGAGGAGGGCTCAGGTTTAGGGAGAGATGGGAAAGGACAGAACTGAGACAGGGAGGACTTGCCAGAGAGTTTCTATCTCTCAAAGAAGGTGATAATCTTTGGACAGTAAAGGATTGGAAGCCAGTGCAAGAAGACTCATTCCATAGCGACTCATGCTGGGCCTGGACCTCACTGCTTGAGCAGATGGGGGCGTGGGTAAAGATGCCCCACTTAAAGATATCTTCCCATCCTATAAATTGCTCAGCATTGGTTACACATGCTCCCTCTCTCACCCAAATTTGCCAGTCTTAACTCAGAAAACTTCCCTGGAAAATTTCTAATTATAGAAACAAATAGAACCAAACAAAGGTTGACCTACCTGGTATATCTTGGCCGCTTGATTTATATGAATGAATCAACACACCCATGTGTTCAAATACATCAAACTCAAATTCTGGGCATTTGAAAGTCTATATACCAAATAAAAGCTTTTATATTGTTCCTTCTTTAGTCTTAAATTTGGTGTTGAATTTATAAACTGAGGGCATTGAAATACACAGTTCTGTCATAAGATATCCAATTCATTTTTCCCATAAATATTCAAGTCCCAGCTATACACTCTGAAATTGTACATTGTTTTATTACCTTATAGCCTTATTTTTAAAGACATCTTGAAAAGAAGGATTTACTCTTTTTCTTTTCTTTGAAAGAAATAAGGAAACAGGGGTCCTGGAGGTTAAAATAGCCAAACTCTTTTCTTTTTTCTTTTTTTATTTTTTTGAGATGAAGTCTCGCATGGTTACCCAGGCTGGGAGTGCAGTGGTGCGATCTTGGCTCAATGCAACCTCTGCCAAGTTCAAGCAATTCTCATGCCTCAGACTCCGAGTAGCTGGGATTACAGGCTCCTGCCACCATGCCCTGCTAATTTTTTTATTTTTAGTAGAGACAGGGTTTCACCATGTTGGTCAGGCTGGTATCAAACTCCTGACCTCAGGTGATCTGCCCAGCTTGGCCTCCCAAAGTGCTGGGATTACAGGGGTGAGCCATTATGCCAAGCCTCAAACTCTTTTATATAAAAGAAAATTCCCATATTTGCAAGATAATGCTTCAGTTAAGAGTCAGTATTTTCCTTTTAATGTTGACACTAAAAATAAATAGGAATTTTTAAGGTAATGTGGTTATTCTGTCAGAAAACTACTATAAAAACCATAAGGCACATTAAACTTCCTACCAACTTGCACTGGGTCATAACTAACATTTGTTTTAGCTTCAGATTAAAAGTATTTTGCTACCATGACTAAGCAAACGTGTGTCTCTTACATTTTACATGACTCTGTTAAAATATAACACATCTTTCAACATTTTGTTGTGAAAGGAGACATTTGGTTTTCACTGATTTATTTATTTAAACAAAAAAAAACAGAGCTAAGTTCATGTGTCAGTAACTTCATCTCTTAGTTTTCGTCATTAATTTTCTTCATTTTTCATCACTTTGGAATGTTTGGAGACATTTGAAAATCCAACTCACGGTAGTTTAAATGTATTACTTAACAGGAAGACTAGATGGAGAGGGTCCAGCACAGGCAGGAGCAGAGATTCGACAGTGTCGTCACAAGCCCAGCGTCTTCCCACCGTCTGCTCCGTCATCCTTGTTACTGTGACTTCTTAATGCTGGTCCTTGTTTCCTTACAACTGTAAGATGGCAGCTCCAGCTCCGGGCATCAAATCAACGATCCAAAAGTAGAGGGAAGGCGTTTGCCATCATGCTCTGTTCTTGCAAACAATTTAGAGGCTCTCATTTCCATCCTGAGCCAGACATGCTCATCTCATTTACCTTTCTGGACACTTTGTCAGTTCTTTTCAATAGAGGCATCTCTACTAAAAATACAAAATTTAGCTGGGCATGGTGGCACACGCCTGTAGTCCCAGCTACTCGGGAGACTGAGGCAGGAGAATTGCTTGAACCCAGGAGGCAGAGGTTACGGTGAACCGAGATCGCGCCATTGCACTCCAGCCTGGGTAACAAGAGCGAAACTCCATCTCAAAAAAAAAAAAAAGAAAGAAAGAAAGAAAAATAGAGGTAATCGCATCCTACAACACAACTTGAGGAGTTGCCAGCAAGGAAGGACAGATGGTACTGATGTCTGTCACAGGGTCCTTCCACATGTTATCCATCTCCTACTAAAGTCTTCTTTTAATGGTATTCTCTTACCTTTACCTAGCTGATGCTTATCAGCTGGTTTTTTTTTCTTTCTTTTTTTTTTTTATATGGAGTTTTGCTCTTGTTGCTCAGGCTGGAGGGCAGTGGCGCAATCCCGGCTCACTGCAACCTCCACCTAGTGATTCTCCTGCCTCAGCCTCTGAGTAACTGGGATTACAGACACCCACCACAATGCCCAGGTTATTTTTTGTATTTTTAGTAGAGACAGCATTTTGTCATGCTGGCCAGGCTGGTCTCGAACTCTTGACCTCAGATGATCCACCCACCTCACCCTCCCAAAGTGCTGGGATTATAGGCGTGAGCCATTGCACCTGGCCTGGCTCCTTTTTCTCAAGCACTGTAATCCCATTGATATGATCTTTCTAAAACACAATCTGACTTCATCATTAGCCTTCCAGTGTGGCTTAAAATAAGGGTCATGATCTACCCCTTGGACACCTTTCCAGCATCTTCTCTTCCATGTGGCCTGCTGGGTATTAATATTATCATACAGGATTTATGTTCTCGCTTGCTGCTGCACTTTCGTTCTACTGTCTGTCCAGAATAAACTTCTACTCTTCCTTGTAGGCCAGAGTCTCTTTGTCCCTCAAACCCGATGCTTTCAGAGGTCCTCCTCAACACCCTGCCCTTTCCAAGCTCAAGTATCTTTCCTGTGTCCATCCACAGCACCTGCTGGGAGCCTTCTTTCTGTCTGCATCTCTGTACTGTGATTTATTTGTTTACGGAATTCACCTGTCTTTTGGTACCCGATGGAGCTTTCTAAGATTAGGGACTGACTCATCCCTGTACAGTTCGTGACCCATAGGTGATGCTCAAATCATATATACATATATGATTTGTCGTCACAAACCCAGCTTCTTTCCATCTGTCTGCTCCGTCATCCTTGTTACTGTGACTTCTTAATGCTGGTACTTATTTCCTCACAACTGTAAGATGGCAGCTACAGCTCCAGGCATCAATTCTGAGAAATAAATGAGTCTATTTCTCTCTCTCTCTCTCTCTCTCTCTCTCTCTCTCTCTATATATATATATATATATATATATATATATATATATATACACACACACACACACACACACACACACACACACATATAAATTTCTCGGAATTTAGCTTGCTGCTAGATATTCAAATCATATATTTTTAATGACAAGAAAGATGCTAAAACTTTCTAGATGACAGTGGGGGGTACCATACAAAGAATGCCCTAGCCCTGTTTCCTAGGATGTCCAGATAAGTTGGAGGTATTGTCTCTTGTTTCTCAAAGCTTGAACCTTTTCTGGCTCTAACTTAGGTGTGGATTGGGAGTAGAAGAGAAGGCTGCTGAAGCAATGAAGTTTTAGAAACCAGAGTTATTTGGAAGAATTGACTCTGAGCGCAAAATACTCACTGGCACAAAGCCAACACGATAACCACTGTACGTAGGAAATGACTTACTGAAGTGCATACGCAGAACTAGGCCAGGAGAGTGTGTGTGTGTGTGTGTGTGTGTGTGTGTGTGTGTGTGTGTGTATACTAGCTAGTCATGTTAGCAACCACTTTAAATTCTGAGGACGGATAGCCACTAATTCCGGTGTACATAGGCACAAGTACTTGAGCGAAAACAGTCTATTATAAAGCATAACTTCAAAAAAAGCTCTAAGCAGTCTATGAAGATAGGAGTAAGTCTTACACAGATTGGGTTTGCCTATTCTTCATACCAAATCCTTGATTCTGATACTCAGTTACAGGTCACCCACCCAAGCACCTTGATATGTAGACACAAGTAGGCGTTCTTTACTTCTGGATTTGAAAAGATGACAAAGGGATTGAGTGGGAATGATTAATTTCATACTGGGGAATGATGATTGCTGGTTATATCACTTACCACACAATAGAGGTATTTAAATGTAACAGCTGTAACCAGCATAGGATGGAATGCTGATATCAGACTTAGGTGATAAGCTTAAATTGGCATTGGAAAAGAAGTTTCCAGCTTCGTATTTCAGTGTAGTCCAGATTTTTCGACCCCTGATACTGCTGATCCTTCTCAGTTAAGGAAGCTTGGTCTCACATTATCTGTTTTGAGAGCTCACCATATCATTGTAGAGGTTTCATGTCATCCAGTGGAAGTCCTTACATCTGACATAATCAGATATGTCTGGATAAAAACTAGTTGGCCAGATGCGGTGGCTCACACCTGTAATCCCAGCACTTTGGGAGGCTAGGGCAGGTGGATCATGAGGTCAGGAGTTTGAGACCAGCCTGACCAACGTGGTGAAACCCAGTCTCTACTAAAAATACAAAAATTAGCTGGGCATGGTGGTATGCACCTGTAATCCCAGCTACTCAGGAGGCTGAGGCAGGAGACTCGCTTGAACCCAGGAGGCAGAGGTTGTGGTGAGCCAAGAGCATGCCACAGGACTCCAGCCTGGACAACAGAGCAAGACTCCATCTCCACCACCCCCCAAAAAAACTAGTTCGTCTAGCTAAAAAAAAGTTATTTGAGTTATACATTTTGAATTTTTTAAATCTCAACTTAAAAGTCCACTCATTTTCTAGTCTTTGGGAAAAGCAGAGTCAAAGCCTTGTCCTGAGTATGGTGCCACTGTTAGATTTTTTTTTCTGTATCACTAGAACAAGCGGAATCAATAATGCATTATTCAGTATTTCCAGTTTTTGTCTCTTAAAAATAGCCAGAGACCTTTGCATTCAAACATGTGCAAAAAAGTGCAGCTCCTCCTAGACTCTTGGAATTTGCTTGAATCTTCTGCCATTGTCTCCCCCACATCTAATCCAATAGCTGATTTTTTTCATCTTTTGTGTGACTTGCTTTTATTTAGCCTTTCCAAAGCATTCATCTTACTCAATTAGCCACTTAAGAAATACCAGGTTTGGTCTTGTCCTCCATTTAATCAATTAAGATTTTGTTGAATTATTTGATGATAATCCACTGAGCTGCTGGGGTGGAAGTGTTTGGAAAGTGCACACTGGTTTTCTAGAAGCACTTGGTGGGCCATGGGCATCTAGTGATATGTTTTACAGAGAAAAAGCTGATTATTTTCAAGAAGTCCTTGGCGTTACATGTGCACATGTCCAACACTAACTTTATTGAATGGAGTTTTGTTCAATTGCTCACTACCTCGATGTATTTGACAAAATGCCTACTGTCTGCCATGTTAACCCTGACAATTTCTTTTGTCAGTTTTCTCAGCTTTGCAGCATTCTTGCTAAAACAACAAAAACCCACTCTGTCTAGCTATATTCTTTCTGATATAGAGAGCTATTACGGAGGATTATATTATATACCCTTTTGACAAGAAGAAACATTTCATGATTGAAGGCTGAGCTGGACAGTGGTCCCTGGAAGCATGAGTAGTTTCCTGGACCCTCTTGTGTAATGTGTAATGAACCTGTACAAGTGCTTCATCTTGGGCCCAGCTTTAAGGGAACCAAGCTCTCCTGAGATGAGGATGTATGGGGCAAGTAAAGAAGGCCTGTTCTCATTAACTGTGCGAAACCTGAAGAGTGAGAAGCAGGACGATGCAGAAAGAAGCTGAGAAAGAATGTGGCTTCAGGTGAAGGTTCAGCCCGAACCCAGGGGAACGCTGGACTACACTGTGTTTCTTGCCTTGAAGCCACCACTGGGGCAGGGAGTCTCGAAGCAATGTAACCGGAGAACTGCAGCTTCTATCATCCCAGTGCAATCCTCCAAAGAAAGATGAAGTTATGTGAGCAGGTAGCGGCAGCTAAGCAACGCATGCATGAAAACTATATCAATAAAAGCAGCAAAAGGAAACCTAGGTAGATGATTAACTGCAAATTCACAGAATATCAGATAGCAAACGTGTGGTATTTTTAAAATAACTACCTTTTTTTTCCAAAGGTTTTTTGATTTGCAATTGGTTAAGGAAGAGAAGCTTTAAATAACTACTTTTACGGGACCCAACTTATGAGAATCCCTAAATTTTCTGGGTTTCTCTTGTCTCTTGGGTCCTCAACTGGTTAGACAAAAAAAGAGACCAGGCCCAATTTCCAGATTTCACCAGCTGACCCGTCTTCCCTGGGGAGGCCATGTTCAGCATGTCCTCCATTATGCCTACCAGCACGGGAAGTGCAGCGGCTGCAGAGTCCAGACGTGACCCAAGGAAACTCAGACGGCAGGTTCACCTTTCCTGTGTTTCCAGACTCAAGCACAAAGCATCATGCAGTTAAAATGTCATTCAGTGAGGCATGGCATTTGGCTTTTGTAGTGGTTGTCCCAAGGGGCCAGATGCACAACCAGGAAGAACACAGGAGTTAATGCCTGTGGGGGGAACTTTTACCAGTGGGAGGCAACTTACAGATAAATTCCTTTTGTTCTTTTCCTCTGATGGATTGTTGGGAGCTGCTGTGGTTCTTGAGAGCATGTCTAGAGATTGTCCCTTGTGACTGAGCAAGTGGCTCTATTTTCCTTTCTGAAGCTGTGGCTGGCAAATCTGCTTTCCGTTCCTCCTCGTGTCCGCGTTCCACTCTTCCTCGTGCCCGCTTTCCATTCTTCCTTGTTTCACCTCCCCTTTCCCTTCAGTCTCCCTGCCCTGCCATTGCACCTCTTTACCTACCCAACGCGTGTTAGCACATCATCTTAGCCTGATTTCCAAAATAAACAACAAAAACAGAAACATACCAAAACAGAACTGAAGGCAAAGACAGTGCCCCTAGAGATGGAAGTTTCAGTACATGTGTAAGTCCCCTACGTGGTGGAATTTCACTGTAGAACATCAGGAGAGAGGTTATGGGTAAATAGAGAGTAATCCTGATATTGTTCTTTTGTTCTTTTTCTATCTAAACCATCAATCCTATTAAAGTCCAAGTGAATGCTGAGGAGCAGCTCCAGGATGCTACAAAGAGTTTTACTTTGTTAAGAGTCTTTTACAATAGCAAAGACCTGGAACCAACCCAAATGCCCATCGATGATAGACTGGATTGGGAAAATGTGGCACCTATATACCATGGAATATTATGCAGCAATCAAAAATGTTGAGTTCGTGTCCTTTGTAGGGACATGGATGAATCTGGAGAACATCATTCTCAGCAAACTGACACAAGAACAGAAAATGAAACACCGCATATTCTCACTCATAGGCGGGTGATGAACAATGAGAACACATGGACACAGGGAGGGGAGCACTACACACTGGGGTCTATTGGGGGGAATAGGGGAGGGACAGCGGGGGGGCAGAGCTGGGGAGGGATAGCATGGGAAGAAATGCCAAATGTGGGTGAAGGGGTTGGAAGGCAGCAAAACACACTGCCATGTGTGTACCTATGCAACTGTCTCTCATGTTCTGCTCATGTCCCCCAAACCTAAAACACAATAAAAAATTAAATAAATAAATAAATAAAAATAAAGAGTCTTTTACAAACTAGCTCAGCACAGCAAGTAAAACAATGCAGAGGAGAATGTAGCACCTAGAAGCTGCATTTCCTCAAAGGAATACAGAACATTTGTGAACTGGCGTGCTGATGATAGTGATGCAAAACATTCTTCTTTTTCAAAAAAGAGAATCAACTTGTTCTGTGGCTCTGGCCAGATTGAGACCAGCAGTTATGAGGCCAGAACTAGTCTTTTTAAAACAATATTGACAGATAACATATATTTTTACTGTGTACAACATGATGTCGTAAGATACATACACATTATGGAATGATTTTGAGTGTTACTGATGTGCAGGCTAGAGAATCTGTCCCAACTGCAAGTGATGTTGCCATCATCATTGTCACAATTAGTACTGATGGCTGTGGTCGATTTAGTCTGTAGCTATCGAGATGGGTGGTATGGGGTAGTTGTTCTGTTTTTGCTATTTTATGCTTGTAGAAATGGTCTCAATTTTCTCTTCTGATTAGTCTTAGCATATGGGTTTCTTTTTTGCCATATTCTACTGCAGAGGCTGCCTCTCTCTGCCTTTCTCCCTCACATCTGGAATCCAGCCAAAATGTACTAGAACAAGATGCTTCTCACATTTCAGCCCTTTTGTAAGGGTGCTGATTGCAACTTGGGTAACTTCAGTATAATCTAAGGTGGAAGCTTTCTGCTTATTTTGAGGAAAAAAAATAAATGTCTAAAAATAAAACGTAGGCATAAAAATAGGGCCAAATACTCATTAACTGCCTCACTTAGCTGAATGCTGAAATTATTTCAACAGCGCTAAATCAAGCCTTTGTGTGGAAGAGGCTGGGTATTTTTTTAAATTTGTAGTATTTTATCTTAGATGATAAATGAGTTACTGTAATTTGTCATTTTATTCAAAACTTGAATTAAATAGTCCTCAAAGCCTCCATTTTCAGCTTGTGCTCATGCGGACCCTTGAATTAGAGCACTTGTGTTCACAAGTCTCCTGGAATATATTCTGTGGGCTGCCGTGGGAAAGGTTGGGGTGACAGACAGGACCAGGAGCCGGAGTATCCAGGGCTTGGGATGCTGGGGTTAAGAATTTGGATCTTATTCTAAGTGTGGTGGGAAGCCACTGGAGGGATTGAATTATGAGGATATTATAGAATGACTTCTATTTTCAAAGTGTGACTCCTGACTGCTGTACTGATAGTAGATTGGAAGGAGACAACAGTAGGAAAAGGGTAACTAGCCAAATGCCTATTTGTAGATATCCAGGTAAGTGATGGTGGCTTTGGAGCAGGATGGTAATAGTAGAGTTGGAGAGAAGTGGACAAATAATGGAGTTTATCTAATTCATTAACAACAACAAAAAGATTGATTAATAGATTAGATATGGGGCGTGAGAGAATGGAAGAGTCAGGATTGATTCCTAAGTTTCTGGCCCAAACAACCGGAAGAATTTGGTACTAGTTATTGAGATGAAGACTGGAGGAAGAAGAGGATACTTTTTTGCTGTTTTGCTGTGTTGAGGGTGGGTCATAGAGCAATGGAAAAGGGAATGAGCTGGAAGTAAGGGCTCATGTTAATTTTGGGCATCTAAATGAACCGTTCAGAAGAACAGTTGAATGTATGAACTTGACCCAGTAGATACGTTTGAGAATCCTTGATGTGAAAATTACATTCAGTCATGAGACAAACTCGCCTAAGGAGAGAGTAGAGAGAAAGTAAAACACCTGAGAACATTCCATATTTCCACATAAATAGGGCAAGCAGAAGAGAACCCATAACGGACTAAGAAGGAACAGCAGTGAAGAAGGAAAAACTAGGAGAGTCTGATGTTCCGGAAACCAAGAGAAGACTCTTAACAAAGGAAGGTAACAGTCAATTACATTAAATGCTGCTGTGAAGTTGAGTTAGAGGAGGAAAAGCAATGTCACCGTTTTTGGTGTTCTTGGTGACACTACAAGAGCAGCTTATGTCATGCAGAAAAGAGCCGAGAGTTGATAGGAGATTGTAAAGTGGGAAATGAAGACAGCTATTTAGACAATTATTTCAAAAAATTAATGGAGCTAAGAAATAGGTAATCAAGAGTTAGGGAAGAATATTTTTTTCTCATGTTCCTAAGATGGGTGCTTGGAACATTTATGCTTGTAGAATAGGTTCAGAAGAGAGAGAAATCCTGATGGTGCACAGAAAGGAAATATGATTGCAGGGACAAATTTCTCGAATGCAGAAAGGTGTGAGATGTAGAGCACAGTGAAGGGTTTGGCCTTGGATAAGAGCAGAAGGAAAGGCAAGAAGAGTGCACCTGCATGTTAATAGGTTGGTTGAGGTAGCAACAGGAGGATGAGGGAGTAGCCATAATCAATCACAACAATTAATGAAGTAAGAGCATCAGCTGGACGGGAGACGGGAAAAGGGAATGTCAGTTTCACGAGAAGGTAGCAAATACTGGAGTCAACCTAGGTGGTGGGAGGATGAACCTCTAGTAAGACAATGGACAGGGAAGGTTTCAAAGTTACAGTAAACAAGGCGAATCTGAGTTCATGTTTGCTCGGAAAGGGACATTAATTAAATTTTAAGTTTTTTTTTAATGAGAGGCAAAAAGTATTATTACATGTTTACATATTTTCATAGAAGAAAAATGAGTTTAACAATTACTTGTAATCTCACTATTTGGAGACAATTACTGTGATATCCTTTATATATTACACATTCAAATACTTCCGTAGGAAGAAATATAAAGGTCTTAATTTTGATAACGAATACTGTTTTAGAGCACTTTTGACTTCACCAAGTATCTTAGTTATTGCTCTAAGAGAAATAAAAACAATTAGAGTAATAATTTTGTCATATTGCAAACATATTTCTATTTTTGTTGCTTTTTTCATTTTTGTAGAGAGATGTCTGTAATAGGAAATGTACAGTTAGGTTAAAAGGCCTTCTTCCTAAGGTTGTGTTTTCAGTAACTTTCTTATAGTCTTTAAAATGTAAAAATGAAACTCTAAATTATTTATCTACCAGGCTTCATTTTGATAAGTTATGATTAAGAAATCTAATTTTACTTTTTTAAAAAATTTGTTATTTTAGATTCAGGAGACACACGTGCAGGCTTGTTACAGATCGACAATTGCATGATTAATTTCATTTTTTAGGATAGTTTTAAGTCATTCTTAAATCACATATCCCATAACAAATATAGAATATATTCTTGTAATAGTAGAGCTCCCAAATAATTTTTTTTTGGTGGGGGAGACAGAGTCTCACTGTCTTACCCAGGCTGGAGTGCAGTGGTGCAATCTCAGCTCTCTGCAGCCTCTGCCTCACTGGTTCAAGCAATTCTCCTGTCTTAGCCTCCTGAGTAGCTGAGACCATAGGCACACAACACCACACCCGGCTAATTTTTGTATTTTTAGTAAAGACGGGGTTTCACCATGTTGTCCAGGCTGGTCTCGAACTCCTGACCTCAAGCCATCTGCCTGCCTTGGTCTGCTAAAGCACTGGGCTTACAGGTGTGAGCAATCACATCTAGCCACAAATTATAACTTTAAAACTTTCTTTTAGAGATTTTAAAACCAAGTATATGCTATTCTTTAAACAACCTATTTGTTACACTGTAAATATTATCTTTAATCCTATCCTCTGGGAAATCAGTTATATTTTTTACTTGAAACAGTATTGTGTGTACACATTTTGCCATCTATATTTTCTTGCTTGTTGAGTTTTTTTTTTAAATACTCTGTTAACCATGAATTTAATGGCTTGCACTAGTATTGGATATGTAAAAATGTGTCATCAGGTCTTAGTTGTTCTTTATGTACGATTATAAATAACATCATAGTTAACACCACTGGCACCTAATATTGAATTGAAATTGGTTTTAGTATTTTCTGTCCTAAAAGCAATATGTCCATTTAGAAAGCTTTAAACACAACAAACTATTATCCAGAGAACCACAGTTGCACACATATGTACCAAATCTTTATTCATTCAAGAGCCATGTTTCAGTACTTCTTACATAGCAGGCACTGCTTCAGATATGAAACCTACTCTTCAGATTTAACATCCTCATCTATTTAGTCATGTGTCTTGTCAGTATCCTATGAGCAGAAATGTGTATGCTTTTAAAATATGAACCATGCTATTTAGACATTGTATTGTAATTTAATTTTTCTCCTGCAACCTATTAAGAAATTCCTTCCATGCCATCGAACCATCCTTTACAATACCATGTTTAATGGCTACAAAAGAATTACTCATGTGGATGTACTACTCTTTTCCAATTCCCTTTTGCATTTTAAACCCGTAACGTGTGCTCTTTACTTCTCTTTGGTAGCATGACTAATATGTCCTGCACAAGACATGAAGGCACAGAGTGTACTGCCTTTCTTCCTCATTCTCACATCATCTCTGAGTGGATTTCAAGGTAATTTCCTCTGAAATACAAGTGTTAGCTATTTGCATCATCAGATAGAAATATGAGCACACAATGCAAGGTGGCTGTTTCCTCCATAGCCATAGCATCGTGAACTATCCTAAATGATCAGTTAATCAGAAGCAAGGAACAGGTGGGAAGTCTCCATGAAGACTAAAAATTAGATATACTGTTTCTGTCCACTCTGGTTAAGACTCTTTCTAATCTATTATCTGCTACCAGAAATAAGTTCACTGGAAAGGCAAGTTTGATTGATTGATTTTTTTTTTAAGTGTGAGCTTGGTACTTACCACTTACTTGACAGAAGGCGTTATCAGCTTTGCTAGGTCCTATGACAGGCATTCTTAATTATCCAGTGAAACAGCAGAGGGTTTTAGCAGAGCAATTAGAGAGCTCCACAATCACTCTTTTCCTTTCCCATCTTTCCATGTCTTTCTCTCATCATAATGCCACATCCCTCTAGCTCTCTGCAGAGAAACCAAGTCTCTCTGAGGAAGAGAGGTGGGACCTGGTATGTAGAAAGAATCCCATAGGGGAAGGCAGAGGATAAAGACTGTGACAGAGCCATTTGAGGACCCAGTTCTTCCATCTTGGGTGGCCTGGGCATGACCCAAAGGAGTTACTCCATTGTCTAAAAAATAAGGCCCTTTCCAGTCCTAATATCTTAGAATCCATAGAGAGGGACAAGATTTACTTAAAATATTTTGTAAATCAAAGAAGCTAGATGACTGCCTTCAATGATGGGAAGTATCCGGGTATATTTTCTTTGCCAAAATCCCTTATTTTGTTGATTTCATTTGCTTTTTGAAATCAACTTGTGAAGTTGACAGTGAAAACAAAACAAAATAAGTAAATCAAGAGAAGTGGGGATGGGGCTTCCACATTTATCTCCAGATATTCCTTACCTATATTTTGACCGATTCAGGACATCCTGATAGCAGTTTTGAAGCACATGAGTGATTCCATTTCCCTTTTGGACTTCTGCTCATGTCCTCCTTTATTTAGATCTAGTGCAAAGATATTCCTATCAGACTCCTGGACCCACCATTGTTTTCTACAGGCTCCAAAAATTTTCTTACCCAACCAAGCTGAGTTTATTCCATTCTTTTAGGGCCTGCCGGCTGTAGCTAGCTAGATAAACTAGTTTATTATTGCTATATTAGGAGTTAAATGTGAATGTGTTCTGGGAATGAAATCAAAAGGAGTCTTTTAACATACATGATTTCCAGGCCAGGACTGGAAGAGAGATGAGACTATTGACCAAGTGGGCAGCAAACCAATGTTTCTATGCCTTGGGCTGTTACCAATTCTCCCCCCAGTTACATTGAATAAAACAGATATTCAATTAAAATTAAAACTCAAACACAGAGTTTTAGGTTTGTTTCTAATAACCAGACAACAAGTGTTTTTGATGATGTGGTCCATTCAGGCAGCTAACCGAGGAAGGTTCTTCTAGGTAGTTCTGGAATAATCCTGAACAGGCACACATCACTAATTCTGTTCATAACTTCTCTGCTCTTGACTGTAGACACATTCCTTCTGGCTTTCTTCAGCAATATTTATGTGAATGAACAAACCGTCGTTGGAAGACTTGATGGAGATGTAATCCTCCCTTCCTCATTTGAGAGTGGATCTGAAGTGGTAATACACTGGAAGGATCAAGATAGCTACAACGTTCACAGTTACTTCAAAGGCAGTGACTATTTGGACAACCAAGATCCCAGATATGCAAACAGGACGTCCCTTTTCTATAATGAGATTCAAAATGGGAATGCATCTCTATTTTTCAGAAGATTAAGCCTTCTGGATGATGGAATTTATACCTGCTATGTAGGAACAAAACAAAGCATTACAAACAAAGTGGTGCTCAAGGTGGGAGGTAAGTGCACATGTGAAGTTTCAGGAAACATGGTGATGGCATCATTTCACGTTACTAGTGAGCGTCTTTTTCCTACCTTAATATGCCCTGAGCTTCCTTCCAAGTCAATACACAGAAATGTACTTGTTTCTAATGCACAGCGTCTCGTAGTATACTAATGTTATAAATGATACGACTGTTCCCCTGCTGGTGGATATTCAGGCATCTCCAGTGTTTTACATTACATGGTTGTGATGAACATGCTAGTTCTACTTCATCGTGGGAAATAACCTAAAGCAAAGTACCAGAAGATTTAAATACATTACGACACTAGCAGCCCACGAGTGTCCACTTTCCCCTTAGTCTTATCAGTACCAAGTATCTGCCGATATCATGACTGAAAAAATATTGAATTGTTGATTTAAATTGCATTTGTCTGTGTTATAAATGAGGTTAATTTTTACATTATATGCTTTCCTTCTCTGTCTTAACTATATATAATACTATACCTATATAACTATAACTCTAAGCCATTAATATAGCTAATATATACAGTTAATATCACTCAAACACAGCTTCAGGGTGGTTATACTATATAGTTAATACAACTATAATATATTAACTGTATTAATATATTAATTGTTTCTAATTCCCATTGTTATATTGAATCAAACAGGTATTCGATGAAAATTGAAGTTCATAGAGCTTCATGGTTTCTCATTACTAGATTACCAAGAGTTCCTGAATGATGTGCTCTGTTAATGGTCAGGCTGCTGATCATTAATGTGTATGTCATATAGTTAGAATGTAGTATAATATATACTACAATTTTACATATAGATATAGATATAGATATAGATATAGATATAGATATAGATATATACACACACATGCAGCATTTTCTAATGGATTGTTTTTCCCAGCGCTTGTTTCTTTTTCTTCTGTCCCTTTCAGCTGCTTCAGACCTTGATTCAGAAATTACAAAATTACGTGTAAACAAAGAGTCAAATAGGCGCTCTGAGTGAGTACTTGCGGAGTGCAGAATGCCGCGTGAACTCTACAGTCTTACACACCGTCATTTGGTTGCTCAATGATTCCAGCTATGTTTCTAGAGAATTGAGATTGCTAGTTGCCACATACTCATGCCTGCTCTTATTTTTTCTAGATAACTACACTGTATCTTTAGGCTCTACAGAGTTTTGGGCTTTTTTTTTTTCCTTTCAGTTACTGCCAAGTTTTGCTCATAAAACTTAGCTTTTCATTTCATGGGTATTAGAAAGTATTCTGCACAGATGGCCGTAAAGAAGCTAATGACGGTAATGACGGCAGTTCTTCATGTGCCCTTCTTTCTCCTGTGTAGTTTTCCTCACACCCGTGGCGAAGTATGAAAAGAAGAACACATATAGCTTCTTAATATGCAGCGTGTTATGTGTTCACCCTCGTCCAGTTATCACGTGGAAAATGGACAACACACCTATCCCTGAAAACAAGAGGGAAGAAACAGGGTCTTTGGGCCCTTTTTCTGTTAACAGCACACTGAATGTTACAGGATCAAATTCATCTTATGAATGTACAATCGAAAATTCACTGCTGAACCAAACATGGACAGGGCGCTGGACAATGAAAGGTAGGCGCCACATGACTTTCTGTGTAAAAGGGCTGTGTCGAGGTTGGGGGGAAATGGGGACTGATTTGCAAGGAAACAAAGGAAGATGAAAGAAAAGAAAGCAAATCCATCTGCAGCAGTTAGAAGGCTGAGACCGGAGTCCCGGGGCTGGTTCTTACTGGCTATATTACATTAAGCTGACATTCTTACTTTTGAACATTAGTACCTCATTGATAAAATAGAAGTAAGTCTTACCTTGCTACGTATTTGTGAGTTGAATGAAAACATTTATGAAATGTAAAGAAGTAAATCTATCCTTGAATATTAGTGCTTTTCTCAATGGCCCATCCTTCAAACAGGATTTTCTACCAGCATAGCTGTTTAAAAGCTCAAAGGGGAAAAAACACTTGTGTCTCAGCAGATCACAACCTCCGATCTTTCAATTAAACAAAATATTAATTACTATTATTGCTTCTGTTTAGTTTTCTTACATAGTTTTAGCCCATCAACCTCTGTCCACCACCTCTATCACAGCATGGTTGGTTTTTAGCACTCTTTCCTCTCATTTATTTGAACAGATACAAACTCTGATCAGTCTCTATATCCAAAACCTACTGTTTAATAAAAATTCACTCTCTATCTCCATATACAATTCCAAGAAAATTTGTTTTACATTTTATTTGTAGCAAAGCAAAAGTTTTCTGTCAATCTCCCTTATAGAGGGAAAATGGAGGCTATTTTTTTTTTCAGCCTTCCCTTTCTAGCATCTCATATTCTCAAAATGCTCAGCAAAAACATACTGAAATTGTTGGTGATTCACCACATTTACTGAGTCAGTGTTAAGGGCATGAGTACCCAATGTTCATTTTCCATCAGGCAGACAGCAATGGAAACATGGGAAAGAGTTGCAAATGTTAATATTATAAATATTTTCCTTGGAAAATCCTAATTTCTCATGTTCATTTAGAATTGAGTATCTTGAAGCATGAACAGTTCTTTAGGCTCAGTACTGTTTGGTCCCATTGAAAAGCTATTATGTGCCAAGTTTTGTTGCTCACAGACTGTGAACTTAAGAACATAGTCTCTACTGATTTCGGGATCCACAGCCTCTAGTACAAATATAAAAATTAGGAACATCGCTTACAGAAGGAGCGGTTAATTCTATTCTCAGTGGTCGGATATGAATGGGGTTGTTATAGAATATGTGTTTAAGAAAGTTGCATAAGGGCGGAATTTTAGAAGAGTAGCAGGACATTCCAGGAGAATGAGAATATTCCAGGTAAAAAGCATGGAAAAGTAAAATTGCCTGGATTTGTGGAATCAATGGATCAAGAGATGAACCTGGAGAGGGAGGGAAAAAACAGATGAAAGACCTTCTCCACCTTGGTAAGGAGGTTGTTGAGTCTTGGAGGTAGGATGGATCCAAAGAGAGGTCTGAAGCATCAGAGAGGCCCCGGATTTCCTTTTCAGAAGGGTTGCTTTGGCTTCAGTCTCCTGCAGGTAGACTGGAAGGCAGGCAAGTCTAGAGCCAGGGAGAATAATCCAGGATACTCCATAGAGGTCAGCCTACAGCACTACACAACAGGAAGGACAAGATGGAGCTGGGTCTGCAGGGGCAAGCTGAGAAAATCCAGCAGAGTCTCTCTTCTAAAAGAGCTCAGTCCAGTGGGGTTGCCTGCACACAGCTGGAAATATTCTTACAATCAGAAAAAGAGACTTTGTCTAGACAAAGAGTTTAAGAAGTAGTGAGGCCATAAAAGCTAGAGACCGCTAAAGCAGGCAGGGTAACAAAAGGAAGTGTTCTGGGGAGCAGCAACATTTGAGGGATCAACAGGAGAACATTGAGTTTAATAGGCTAGTAATTGGTAGAACATGCCTCGGGGCCTCATTCACACTTGTATGAATGCAGGTAGTGTTGGGCATCTTCTTCCAACAGAGCTTGTTTTCACTGCAATTAAAGACTTGCTTTGGATGGAAATGTGGCTGTAGATTGATCACCAGCAGTCACAGCCTCTCTGGTAATTTTGATATTTTTCAGTCCAAGCTTATTTCTGAGTGCTTACTGTCAGGTTCTGAGTTAAAACAAGTGCATCACCCCTCTAGCTGGCCCTGGCTTAGCCCTTCTTGAAGGTCTAAACTAACCTTGGTGGGAAACTTTAAAATAGGGATAGTAAAATTTGCTTTTTAAGAAACCACAGCACAAATATCTAATACTTTCCAAAGAGTTACTTCCAAAGACAGCAGTATCTGCACCTTTGTTCCCTGATTTCTAAGTGTAACTTAGAAAATTCTTTTGAAATGTGTATCGTCATTGATGTTTTCTTTTCTATTCTGTTGTTAGATGGCCTTCATAAAATGCAAAGTGAAAACGTTTCACTCTCGTGTCAACTTGTAAATGATTATTTTTCACCAAACCAAGACTTCAAAGTTACTTGGTCCAGAGTGGGAAGTGGGACTTTCTCTGTCCTGGCTTGCTATCTGAGCTCCTCACAGAATACAACTATCAATGAACCCCGATTCTCATGGAACAAAGAGCTGATAAACCAGGGTGACTTCTCCATGAATTTGATGCATCTTCATCTTTCAGACAGTGGGGAATATTTATGCAATATTTCTTCAGATGAATATACTTTACTCACCATCCACACAGTGCACGTAGGTAAGTTGTAAGTAGGTTTGGATAATGGGTTTTGGCTGTAGCATTGGAGGTTTGTGATTATCAAACAGAAAATTAGCTTGACTTTTCAAGAATATTTTACATTGATACCCTCTCAAATATGATTTACGGGGATATTTCTGGTCAGGATGTTGATTACTCTCCCTGCTTCAACTATACAAAAGTCCTGTTTTGAAAAAAAAAAAAATACTCCCACAGATTTCCTTTTCAGGACTTTGGGGCTTCAGAAATGAGGAGGAAACATACATTTTGATGACTCTATGGGCTGAGCATCTTCCATTTCTGTTTACTGCTGTGCCTGATATGAACCTTAGACCTGGGGTTTGGGGAGTCAAGGCTAGAGACACATTAGGAAATTACAATAGGGGTCCTGAAGAATGCTGGGAAAACATGGCAGTGTCTGTGGACTGGGAAACAGTCACCACAGAATATTTGAGGTGCGCGCGCGCGCGCGCACACACACACACACACACACACACACACACACACACACACATATATCTATATATTCCTGGTTCAGTTCATTTTTACCTCTGTTGATAGTTCACTGCCAAAAATATTTCTAGTCGACTAACCATGAGTCATGGAATATATACTCATGAAGCTGACCTTCCAGGTGAGCTGGACAGTCCCACCCTTAAACTATCAACTTCACATCATGGCAGACCATGGTAACTTTTTCTGTCCTTCAATAAAGATATTTGAACCAGTAGAACTCACGTTTTAGAAATATTTCTATCATTTCAATTAGGAGAAATAACATTTGAAGTTTTGGTGATTCTATGCAGTGAGATTTGGTGATAAGAGCACAGTGAGATTAGGTTATGTGATCTTCAACTACATAGAAGCTTCTGGACATTGAGTAATAACACTCCCTTTGTAGAGCTGCCACTTTGAGAGTAGAGAATGAAAAACTGGGACTGCATTTGAAGCTCCTATTTTTCTCCAAAAATAAAAGTGTCAGTTTTATGTAAAATACAGTTAAGCCTCCAATCTATTTTTAAAAATGTTGCCTCATGTTGGATTCATTTTGGAGTGTAAAAAAAAAAAAAAAAAGCAAGAAGAAGCGTCCTAAAGACCACATATGGCCCATCTTCCTACCCAGAGATCTAATTTTCAGTTCACAAAAAGTGAAACATCAGGACCATTCCATCTCTGACAAAAGAGAATTTTCAGAACCTCTCATTCTCAAGTAAACTTAGGCCAGGTGGGGCTGGGGGAGGGTGTGCTCATCCTTCCCTGCCACCTCAGCAGGGCAGGGAACAGGGCAAGACAGTCTTGGTACCTTAAATATCATCCTTTCAAGGAACTTGGATTCCTGTTCTGAATTGTGACTTTTCCATTTGCTGCCTTTCCCAGGAGGTGCCACAACAAGATAGCAGTACTTATGATTCCTTGAATCTAGATCTGCTCAATTAAGATTGCACTAAGCTGAATGGAATTAAATAATTCTTGCTAAGTTTTGATGCTGAATCAGTATGTGACCTTAGGCAAGTATCTTTACAGATGAGGGAACCTGAGGGTCATGAGTGCAGTGAGAAGTAGCTATACCTTGTAGGATTTCCTTTAGGAGGAAGAAATATGCATATGAAAACACTTTAGAAAGTTAATCTAACATTTCTACTTAATCTCTCATTTATATAGGAACGGTAGTCCCCCCTTTCCATGGGGTATATGTTTCAAGAGCCCCAGTGGATGCCTGAAACTATAGATAGTACCAAACCCTATATATGCATTTCCACATGGTACCAGGATTAATCTGTTCTTCCATGTTTGTGCCTCGGTGCCTCATTCACACTTCTATAAATGCAGGTTCTACTGGGCATCTTCTAGCAGAGCTTTTTTTCATTGCAATTAAATACTTGCTTCGGATGGAAATGTGGCTGTAGCTTCATCATCAGCAAACAGCCTCTCCAGTCATTTTTATGTTTTTCTGTCCAAGCTTATTTCTAAATTTGTGTAGCCATCCTCTCCTTGCAATCAATGGCCCGTTTCAAGGGATCTCTTGCTGAAGTCTTCATGGAAGCCCAAGGCTTTCCAGTGCAACATATTGTCAACCAGAACACATTTCTGTTCATGTGCTCCACCCTCAAATTGAATGCCATTTCCATCTTAAGTCAACACATACCACACACTGTGGCCATAAGTGTTGTAGTTTGAGATGTGAAAGCAAAACTAATGAATTTTCTTTTTTCTTTCTTCGCAGTTTTACAGATAGAAGATTCATTTTCATCATAGATCTAGCAACCCCAATATATGATATTTCTTAAGTCAAGCGCTTTAGCTGTTTCAGTTAAGGGAAGCTCTTTATGGCTTCTTTTTGGTATATCTAAATTGCCATCACCACTTCTCTTGGGCTTTGAGACCATTCTTAAAGAAAATAAGGGTTACTTGAACACAGGTATTGTTACGCCGTGACAGTCAATCTGATAACTGAGATGGCCACTGAGGACTCACGGCAGTAGTGTGCACAACATGGATATGCTGGACAAAAGGTGCAGTCACGTCCCAGGTGGGATGGAGTGGCACAACGCATTTCATCATGTTACACAGAATGGCACACAGTGTAAAACGTACGGGTTGTCTATTCCTGGAAGTTTCCATTTGGTTATGTCTGCACTACAGTTGACCATGGGTAACTGAAACCTCAGAAAGTGAAACCATGTTGCTAATGGGGACTCCTGTATAGAATTTCTGAATAATACAAATATGTGAAGAGATTAATATTTTATTAGTTGTAAAACACTATAATATGTTCATAGAAAATGACATTTGTTATATAAACAGAGCTATTCATTTTAAAGGATAGCCACAAACATTTTCCCCCTGAATTGGCCTCTGTGCTCAAATGCTTGCTGCCCATATTTTAGTAGAACATAGATCACAAGGTTAGCAGGTTCTGACTTTGGTAACCCAGGGTCTCTGGAGTCCCCACTTCCATTAATTGTTGAATAATAATAATTTCAACAATTCTAGTCCTGACTGAGATGCTAGAGAAAGTTTAGGCTCCTATAGTTATTTCTGAGGAGCTCCAGGTCCTCCTTTGCTGTAGTTTGTTACCCAAAATCAACCACAGTCTGAAATTTTTAAAAAGAAAATTCCAGAAATAAGTTTATCCAAAAGGACCTTTTTATTGTGCAAAATGTTTTCATATGAATTCAGCCTCCTACCTGTAATGCAGAAACAACTCGTTTTAAAAATAGTAAACATACTCCACTCTCACCCACCCACACATTTCTTATTTGGTAATTTTTCTTCCAGTTCACAGACTTTGTTTCTCTGTTTTATTTAGAATCAAGCCAAGAAACAGCTTCCTGTGACAAAGGTTTACAGATTTTGGTGTCCTGTCTGATTTCGGCAGTTCCCGTAGCTCTTCTGATTTTGGCAGCTCTTCGGATTTATCTGGTACAACTTTGCAGAGGTAAGATCTCACGAAGAATTGGAGCTCTGCCCAGGTGTCCTGTATCATGTGTCCTAAAGATAACATGGAAATACATGCTCGAACGGCTGCTGGGCATGAAAATTGATCTGAATTCACAAAAGTCATCCAAAATCTTTTAAAATGCTTCTGCATTTCCACCTAACCATTCTACTTCTAGGAATTTATCTTGCGTTACCTGAGCAGAGGTCAATCAAACTGTATACATGCATACTTATTGCAGCACACTGCCATTGGTTTTAGATTTCTTACTATTGTCAATAAATAATTTGGAAATTATTTTATTAATTTTAGTAAACTAAAAATTTTTTTTAGTAATAAATAAAATTTTTATTATTTTTTAGTAAACTAAAAAATTATTTTATTAATTTTTTAGTTCTTAAGGGTCATTTCATTTTAATTGTTGCTCAATTAAATTTTTTCTAAATTTTATGCAAGAAACCTTACTGTTTATAGTAATTTAAAATATCTTAAGATGCCATGGTCATGGGAAGTATGTTTAGGGAGTACTTTCCTAAAGCACTTTGCTTTTACTTATAAAATTTTGAGCTAGAGAGCATCTGGGCAAAACTTAGATCTAATAGATCTCCATATTTTACAAGTCAGAAAACAGGAATCCAGGAAGTTAGCTCAAGTACTAAGGAAGTACGTGAAATAGATTTAGGTGGATTGTCTACGATCACTGAGCCAGCTTGTGGCCGAGGCAGGTCCAGGCCCCCAGAAGTTCTTCCTTATTCCATTATCCCCCTGAGAAGGCTTTGGGTGTCCTGGGAGCTTGAGATAGATCCTATGTCCCTTTTATATGTTCTTCTGGTTGATATTTGCTTATTGCCCCTGCCGAAGTTAGGAAATTTGGGTTATAGCAGAAAGCATTCTTGAAAATAAAGTTTTATTTATTTATTTATTTAATTTGTAAAAAAAAAAAAAAATTATTTAACTTTAGGTGCATATTATATCTGGCATTTCTCCCTGTATTATCCCTCCCCACCCTTTCCTCCCTCCCCACCCCCTGCTGTCTCTCCCCTACCCCCTCCAACTGCCTCCAGTGTGATGCTCCTCTCCCTGAGGCCACGTGTTCTCGTTGTTCAACACCCACCTATGAGTGAGAACATGACGTGTTTGGCTTTCTGTTCTTGTGTCATTTTGCTGAGAATGGTGGTTTCCAGATTCATCCAACTCCCTACAAAAGACACAAACTCATCATTTTTGATGGCTGCATAGTATTCCATGGTGTATATGTACCACATTTTCTTTGTCCAGTCTATCATCGATGGGCATTTGTGTTGGTTCCAGGTCTTTGCTATTGTAAACAGTGCTGCAATGAACATACGTGTGCATGTGTCCTTATAGTAGAATGATTTATAGTCCTTTGGATATATACCCAGTAATGGGATTGCTGGGTCAAATGGAATTTCCATTTCTAAATCCTTGAGGAATCGCCACACTGTCTTCCACAATGGTTGAACTAATTTACACTCCCACCAACAGTGTAAAAGTGTTCCTATTTCTCCACATCCTCTCCAGCATCTGTTGTCTCCAGATTTTTCAATGATCGCCATTCTAACTGGCGTGAGATGGTATCTCAATGAGGTTTTGATTTGCATTTCTCTAATGACCAGTGATGTTGAGCATTTTTTCATATGTTTGTTGGCCTATATATGTCTTCTTTTAAAAGTATCTGTTCATATCCTTTGCCCACTTTTGAATGGACTTGTTTGTTTTTTTCTTGTAAATCTGTTTTAGTTCTTTGTAGATTCTGGTTATTAGCCCTTTGTCAGATGGGTAGACTGCAAAATTTTTTCCCATTCTGTTGGTTGCTGATTCTCTCTAATGATGGTTTCTTTCACTGTACAGAACCTCTGAATTTTAGTTAGATCCCATTTGTCTATCTTGGCTTTTATTGCCATTGCTTTTGGTGTTTTGGACATGAAATCCTTGCCTATACCTATGTCCTGGATGGTTTTGCCTATATTTTCTTCTAGTGTTTTTATGGTGTTTGGTTTTATGTTTAAATCTTTAATCCATCTGGAGTTAATTTTAGTGTAAGGTGATAGGTAGGGGTCCAGTTTCTGCTTTCTGCACATTGTTAGCCAGTTTTCTCAACACCATTTATTAAACATGGAGTCCTTTCCCCATTGATTGTTTTTGCTGGGTTTGTCAAAGATCAGATGGTTGTAGATGTGTGGGTGTTTCTTCTGGGGCCTCTGTTCTGTTCCATTTGTCTATGTCTCTGTTTTGGTACCAGTACCATGCTGTTTTGATTACTGTAGCCTTGTAGTATAGTTTGAAGTCCAGCAGTGTGATGCCTTCAGCTTTGTTCTTTTTGCTTAGGATTGTCTTGGCTATGCAGGCTCTCTTGTGATTCCATATGAAGTTTAAAGTGATTTTTTCCAGTTCTGTGAAGAAGGTCATTGGTAGCTTGATGGGGATAGCATTGAATCTATAGATTACTTTGGACAATATGGCCATTTTCATGATAATATTCTTCCTAACCATGAGCCTGGAATGGTTTTCCATCTGTTTGTGTCCTCTCTTATTTCATTGAGCAGTGGTTTGTAGTTCTCCTTGAAGACGTCCTTCACATCCTTTGCTAGTTGCATTCCTAGGCATTTTATTCTCTTTGTAGCAATTGTGAATGGTAGTTCGCTCTTGATTTGGCTGTCTGTCTGTCTGTTATTGGTGTATAGGAATGCTTGTAATTTCTGCACATTGATTTTGTATTCTGAGACTTTGCTGAAGTGGCTTATCAATTTGAGAAGATTTTGGGCTGAGACGAGGGGTCTTCCAGATATACAATCATGTCATCTGCAAATAGAGACAGTTTGACTTCCTCCTTTCCTAATTGAATACCCTTTATTTCTTTTTCTTGCCTGATTGCTCTAGCTAGAAATTCTAATACTATATTGAATAGGAGTGGTGAGAAAGGGCATCCTTGTCTAGTGCCAGATTTCAAAGGGATTGCTTCCAGTTTTTGCCCATTCAGTATAATATTGGCTGTAGGTTTGTCATATATAGCTTTTATCATTTTATGTTATGTTCTATCAATACCTAGTTTATTGAGAGTTTTTAGCATGAAGACTGTTGAATTTTATCAAAGGCCTTTCCTGTATCTATTGAGATAATCGTGGTTTTTGTCTTTGGTTCAGTTCATGTGATGGATTACATTTATGGATTGCCTATGTTGAACCAGCCTTGCATCCCCAGGGTAAAGCTTACGTGATCATGATGGATAAGCTTTCCGATATTCTGTAGCAATCTGTTTGCCAGTATTTTATTGAAGATTTTTGCATCTATGTTCATCATGGATATTGGCCTGAAGTTTTCTTTTTTAGTTGAGTCTCTGTCTGGTTTTGGTATCAGGATGATGCTGGTCTCATAAAATGAGTTAGGGAGGATTCCCTCCTTTTGTATTGTTTGGTGCATTTTCAGAAGGAATGGAACCAGCTCCTCTTTGTACGACTGGTAGAATTCGGCTGTGAACGGGTCTGGACCTGGACTTTTTTTGGTTGGTAGGCTATTGATTGCTGACTCTACTTCAGCTCTTGTTATTGGACTATTCAGGGTTTCAACTTCCTCCTGGTTTAGTCTTGGTAGAGTACAGGTGTCTAGGAATTTATCCATTTCTTCCTGGTTTACTGGTTTATGTGCATAGAGCTGTTTGTAGTAATCTCTGATGGTAGTTTGTATTTCTGTGGGATCAGTGGTGATACCCCCTTTATCGTTTTTTTATTGCATCTATTTGATTCTTCTCCCTTTTTTATTAATCTGGCTAATGGTCTATTTTGTTGATCTTTTCAAAAAACCAGCTCCTGGATTTATTGATTTTTGGAAGGGTTTTCTGTGTGTCTATCTCCTGCAATTCTGCTCTGATTTTGGTTATTTCTTGTCTTCTGCTAGCTTTTGAAGTTTTTTTTTTTTTTTTTTAAATCTTCCTCCTCTAGCTCTTTCAATTTTGATGATAGGGTGTCAATTTGAGATCTTTTTTTGTTTCTCTTGTGGGCATTTATTGCTATAAATTTCCCTCTCGACACTGCTGTAAAGGTGTCCCAGAGATTCTGGTAAGTTGTGTCTTCATTCTGATTGGTTTCGAAGAACATCTTTATTTCTGCCTTCATTTCGTTGTTTATCCAGTTGACACTCAGAAGCAAGTTGTTCAGTTTCCAAGTCGTTGTGCGGGTTTGAGTGTATTTCTTAATACTGAGTTTAGTCTTATTGTGCTGTGGTCTGATAGGCTGTTATGATTTCCACTCTTTTGCATTTGCTGAGGAGTGATTTGCTTCCAATGATGTGGTCGATTTTAGAGTAAGTGCAATGTGTTGCTGAGAAAAAATGTCTATTCTGTGGCTTTGGGGTGGAGCGTTCTGTATATATCTGTTAGATCCACTTGGTCCACGTATGCATTCAAGTCCTGGATATCCTTGTTAATTTTCTGTCTCATTGATCTAATACTGATAGTGGAGTGTTGACGTCTCCCACTGTTATTGTGCGGGAATCTAAATCTCATTTTAGGTCTTTTAAGAACTTGCTTTATTTATCTGGGTGCTCCTGTGTTGGGTGCATATGTATTTAGGATGGTTAGCTCTTCTGGTTGGAATGATCCTTTTACCATTATGTAATGCCCTTCTTTATCTCTTTTGATCTTTGTTTGAAGTCCATTTTATCAGAGACTAGGATTGCAACCCCTGCTTTTTTTTGTTGTTGTTGTTCTCCATTTGCTTGGTAAATCTTCTTCCATCCCTTTATGTTGAGTCTATGTGTATCTTTGTATGTGAGATGGGTTTTCTGAATACATCACACCAATGGGTTTTGACTTTTTATCCAGTTTGCCAGTCTGTGTCTTTTGATTGGGGCATTTAGGCTGTTTACATTCAATGTTTCTATTGTTGTGTGAATTTGATCCTGACATTTTGTTGTGGACTGGTTTTCTTTCCCATTAGTTCACTGATTTTCTTCATTGCATTTTTGGTCTCTGCCCACTAGTT